TTGAATTGTGGTGCCCAGAACTGGACACAGTATTCCAGGTGAGGCCACTCATATATCCAGTATATTCTCCCCAGGTCATTTATTATTATAATTCCCTCTCAGAATTCTCCTTTCCAGATCTACAGGTCTCCAACATTTTCTTGAAGCCCTCCAGGCAGCTAGAGTCCACAAATTGAGGTAATCAATTCTACTCTTTAATTGTTTTTATTATCGATAATTTTCTCATAGTAGTCAACTGAAGCATAGTCTCCTGGGGTTCATTTGGTCTAGTTATGCTCTCCAGACCAACAGAGTACAAGTCTTCCCCTTCCTTTATTTGACAGCCCCTCAGAGATTTGGAGAGTGTTATCATGTCTTTCCGCTGACTCTCTTCCTTTGTTCCATCATAATCACAGGAGAGTTTTATAAGGACACAAGAGAAGGCTTTTTTGGTGGTTGCTCCTAGGCTATGAAATTCCTTCAACTACTTTGGCTTCACCTCTTATTTCTTTTTCCTGGCAGGCAAAAACCTTTTCATTTAGACAGGACCTTAGTATTTAATTCCCTATTGTAGAAGAAATTTTTAATGGTGGGGGGTTGCTGTAGTTTTCTTCATTGTTTTAGTTTAAAATACTTTTAAAACCACCTCAAATTAGTGTTTTTAATTGAATTACCTATTTATGCTATAAACTGTTTTGCCTGTATTCTGTTTTCACTTGTGTTGTAAACCACTTTGGGTCCCATATTGAAGGAAGTGGGGTGGATTAATATAGCCACAAAATTGATAAATGTGATGTTCTAGGGAAGCCCGATGTAGGCCGCTCATGAACTAATCTGATTATTTTCTCAAGAGCTAAAGATAATAAAGATTCCTACCAGAGTCCATGGTTCTAGACCCTAGAAATCTATCAAAAAATTTCATTCTTATTGACTTCAATGGGATAATTTCTCCCATTACATTTATCCTATTAAAGGTACTGAAATTTTGCTGGAATAGTTCCCTGCAATCACACATTTGTTGTCAACAGCGCTTGAGTTGACTTTGACTCATGGTGAGAAATCGCCAAGCCCCTCTGTCTTCAACTCCTCTGCTCAGGTCTGTAGGCTCAGAACCATGGCCTCCTTGATTGAATCTATTCATCTAATATGTGGCCTTCCTCTCTTTCCAGTGAGTCATATCTTCTCATTGTGTGGCTAAAGTATGACAGTCTCAGTTTATTCATCTTGACTTCAAAGGAAAGCTCAGATCTCATCTGCTCCAGGACCTATTTATTTGATATTCTGGCTGTCCATGGTGTCCTCAGCACTCTTCTCCAGGACCACATCTCAAATAACTTGGTCTTCTTTCTATCTGCTTTCAGCAATGTCATACATAATGACAACATTTCCTTCTTTAAATATTGTATGTACAGTGGGCCTTTAATATCCACTGCAGTTTGGTTCCAGGACTCTCACACACACATGGATACCAAATTCCATGGATGCCCAAGTCCCTTCCATTATATACAATAACATTATTTAAAATAACAAAGTTTGGAATTTGTGGGATGCAATTTGAGTTTCCCAGGATGTTAACCCTTTTAAAAGGAATCAAAAATATGCAAGTATGAAAGTTAAACTTGTTAAGAGTAGAGCTTTCATCAGCAGAAACAGTAAAAGTGTGGTCAGACTATTTATTCTAAATCTGTGGGGTTTTGTGGGTTTTTCAGGCTATGTGGCTGTGTCCTAGAAGATTTTATGCCTGACATTTCACCAGAATCTGTGGCTGGCATCTTCAGAGAATGCTGGCACGGACTCTGCCTTCTTACAGAATAAAGACTTACTCGAAAATAACAACAAACATGCAGTTTGTGGTTTAAAAACAAATAATGATTTTAATAAATAAATACATAACAAACTCCTATCCTAACTGGTGATGGTTTGGGTATAGCAGGAAGAGACTATTACCCTCACTCAGAGGAGGCTGTTACTCCAACAGAGACTGAGAGGAGACAGCTTAGAATCTTGAGAGAGAGTCTGTTAAACAGCATCGAAGAGTTTAGATAGAATGAAATAGATAGA